GAGCATGGAGTGTGCGCAGACACCGACTCCGCCTGAGGCCACGCCCCCAGAAAGCCACGCCCCCGACCCACAGATCCTGCGCGAACGCCCGCACCGCGTGCAGCCCCGTCATCTTCCTCCGGGTCCCGCCTCCCCTCCACGGAGTCTGCGCAGGCGCCGCCCTTGACCTTCGGAAAAGCTTGGTTCTGAGGTCATTCCAGCAGGTACACGTGGGATCGTTGTCGCACCTGGAGTCCAGGTTGCCCAGATGTTTTTTTAGGGGTTATGTCGGTAATGGCAGTCGGGTCCATTGCTCTCACTACATACTTTGGAGGACTAGGTGCTGGTTTTCGGAAGGAAGAAAAAAAGTGCAGAAGCAGAAGGGCCCAAGAACCCGGGAGTGAGACCGTCCAGATTTCAGCTTTCACTCCTCGGGCTGCACATCTGTAAAAGGGCGATAGCATTACGGGCCTCCGGATTAAATGAGGCGGTTCATGGAATTTGCCAGGCCCATAATAAGTGCTCCATAAACCTTGCTGTGGTGACCATTTCCCTTCCGAACAGTGCAGTGAGGAAGGTCCGTTCTGCTGCACTTGCTCACTTTAGAAGGGAAAACCAAGGCTTGGCGAACTCACTTGACTGAAGTTGCAAAGCTAGCAGCTGAGAAATTCAGACAAAGGCTGGCCGTCCCGGCTAAGAAGTCAACTGCAGCAGCCCACACTGCAGCCACAAGGTTTCGATTGCTCTTTTCCTGGATCCATGTCAAAGCTACAGTAGTTGCTCTTTAGGAAGTAAGGGCCGTTAGTCCAGCGGGAGAATCTCAGGCTCCTGGGGATGTTATGGGCAGAGTGTTCTCTAAAAGGTGTTTTGAGTACCATTCCTAAAAGGTAAACACAGTACTAGGGGGTGTTCAGTGTTGTGTCCTCTGGCTCTAAATGTTAAATCCTTTCTAAGTATGATTTGTGATTAAAAAGGTGAATGAAGTTGGTGTGGGATGACATGTGATTTGACATTAGTCAGGAATTGTTTCCAACAGGAAGAACACCTGTGTACCCTGGTAAGTGAACGCAGCTGCAGGAACCTCGGGTTAAGATTTGGCCTCGGCTGGGGATTTAGTGGTGCTGTCGTCTGCCTTGCAAGGGCAAGGTCCCGAGTTCACTCCCTGGCACAAAAATAAATAGATAAATAAATTGGCCACCAACATCAATAATTACAAACAGAACTGGATTAGAGTCAGGAGGATGGGAAATGTGAAAACAGCCTGAGCAATTTAGCAAGACCTGTCTCAAAACAAAAACGAATAAGGGTTGGGGATGTAGCTCAGCAGTCTCAGCTCAATCTCCAGTACAAAAAAAAGACCAACCCCCAAACTAAAAACCCTACTAGCAGAGCAAATACACCTTAAGGGAATTACACCACACACTGTTATGAAAAAAAAGGCACAGTTGAGATCCAGAGGTTAAGGTGAGAACTCACCTGCCACAGGTGAGCTGTGTGACTCCCACCCACATCTTGTCACCCTTGTCTGGTTCTGTTTCCACAGATGTAAAATGGGCTCTTGCTAGGTACCTGGCTAGCTGTGCTCAGTGTACCAACCAATTAAGGCCCAGCATCAAGGCCCAACATGTCCATGGCTCATTCACACCTGCCATTTTGCCATTTACTGTATCCTATATCTTTTTTCTTTTGTTTTTTTTTTTTTTTTTTTTGGTTTTTTGAGGGTCTCACTATGTACTTGAGACTGACCTGGGACTCACTATGTAGCCCAGGCTGGTCTCGAACTCACAGTGATCCTCCTGCGTCAGCCTCCTGAGTGCTGGGATTACAGGCATGCACCACCATGCCCACTTCTTTTAAGTTTTCTTAAGAGACTTTTAGGGCCAGGGATTTAACTCAGTCGCCCGGGGATATATCTTTTTCCTTTACTGTCTTCTTTTTAAATTGATTATCTAGCATACCATTAATTCCTTTTATGATTTTTAATATCTGTATACTTAGCAGTTGCTTTGGGGATTAAAGTGTACATTTTTTCAGAATGTGCTTCAGATTTATACCAAATTTCCAGTAAGTTATAGAAACTGCCCCAGTACACCTCCAGTTCCTCCTCCATGTTTTTGTACTCTTACTTACCCTACTTTGTTACAAACTGAACCATACAGTGTTATATGATTCTTACATAATCCTGTCTTTAAAAACCTTGAGAGAATATATTGTGGGTGGGGTTTATTAACGTTCTGATTTATCCTTTCTAGTTCTTCTGATTTCTTTATGTAGATTTGGGTTGTGTGGTACTGTCACAGAAACAAACACGGTCACGTCAGCAGTTCTCACTCGTGGGTTGCCAGAACAGAACCTCCCCTGTACGGTCACAAGACAGGCGACATCTGCTCAGGTCTTTATAAGGTTCAAAGTACTTTTGCTGTCCCGTTTATCTCAGACCCACAATCCCTTGTGGGATAAGGCAGGGGATTCTGAGGTGGCAGCGAGGATCCAGCCTGGATTAACAGAAGGGTGTGCTCTGTCCTCTGAGCACCTGAAGCCATTGCTCCTCAAAGGTTAGGTCAGCCTTATCTTATCCTGACCAACCTGAATCTGAGCTTTCATGGCCACGTTTTATAGCACGATCAAATAGTGCTCATTTTAAACTTACATTTTTTATGTGGTGCTGGGGATCAAAGCCAGGGCTTTGAGTGGCTAGGCGTGTACTCTGTCAATGAGCTGTAGCTCCAGCTTTATTTAGGTACTAGGGATTGAACTCAGAGCTGCCTTTGCACTGAGGTATGTCCCCAGCCCTATTTAAGTTTTCATTTTGAAACGAGGTGTTGCTAAATTGCCTAGGCTAGACTTGCTATCCTCCTGCCTCAGTTTACCCGAGTACAGGAGGATTATAGGCATTCACCACATCCAGCTGTTCATTTAATTTTTAAAGCTTCCAAGTATTTACTTAAAAGAAGTGCAACGTAGCATGGTCCAAGATAGCAGCTAACATAGGAGGGAGGCCCAGCCTTCAGCCTGGGTGCTTGAGATAATAGTGTCCATTATTTTGTATCGTGACCCTGGAATGGGCTTTTACAGGTTGGCGTTCATCCCTTACAGAAGATATTCACAAGAAGCCTGGATTCTCATCTCCCCAGCCCACTACAGCCTGCGCCAAGTGTCTGGGTAATATGCTTTTGGTCAGTCTTTCAACTGATTCCAGTCTCTGGAACTAAATCAAAAGAACATCAAGGACTTTATGCAAAGGGTCCTCATGTGGTACACAACCCAGGAAGGGTATGGAGAGGGGGGACAATACTCTGTCTACCAATCACAGGGTTCCCATGATGGATTCACTTGCAACCTCTACATCCTTTTTCAGGTAGATGGGCAGCTCACGACAGCCAGCAAAAATGTAGACACAAAAACTTGCAAATGTGTATATCCATGTATCCAAAAAGTAGAAACAATGCAAATAGCAGCTTATGAATGGACAAACAGAATGTGATTTGTCCAGACAATGGAATATTATTCAGCCATGAAAACCGATGACATATGGATAGATGCTAAGACACTTCAAATACTATGCTAAGGGAAAAAATGAACCTCCAAACAGTACACTATAGGAAAGCAAGCAGGTCATAAAAGGACATAGTTGTATGATTCCACTTACATGACATGCAGGAAAATTCGTAGAAACAGTAATGGTTTCCTACAGCTTGAGAGACAGGGTTGTGGGTAGATCTGGGAAATGGTGGTTCAGGGTTTCCTAGATAATGAAAATATTCTAGAATTGATTATGGTAATTATAACAACATTGTGAGTATACTAAAAACCATTAAGTTGCACACTTAGTAATGGTTAAGGTTAGCCAGATGTGGTAGCACACACCTGTAAGCCCAGCATTTGGGAGGCTGTAATTGGAGGATTACAAATGAAAGGCCAGCCTACACTATATACAAAACCCTATGTCTCAAAAAAACAAAAGTGACTTATGTTACATAAATTGAATCTCAAAAAAATAATTTTCCCATCCAGGGCATGGTGGAACATGCTTGTAACCTCAGTACTTGGGAGGCTTAGGCAGGAAGACTGCTGTGAGTTCAGGGCCAGCTTTGGGTATATATTGAGTTCAAGGCCAGCCTGACCTTTAGAGAGAGACCCTGCACCAAGACAAACAAACATGTCCTGGGCAAGGGATTTAGCTCAGTGGTGCCACCGCCTGCCTCACAGGCACAAGGTCCTGAGTTCAATCCCTGGTACCAAAAAGCAAAAACAAAAAACAATCGTGTTCCATTAAAAAAAACATGTCCAAATAGACACATCAGTTATTCCTGTGTCCTCTTATTTTCAGTATGGGATTGGAGTTTAGCTCTGATTCTCTTCCTTTCCTGTGTTCCCTCTCACCACCTCCTGTGCCCAGTGAGCCATTCACTTGTAGGATATGGGTGTGACAGCAATGTAGAATAATTAACTTTACTTTCTACTGCTGAGACCAAAGCTGTAGCAGGCAGGGTGGTTCGTTGCAAACCAGAGCATGAAACTGGCTGACTTAGGCAGAAATGGAATTTACTGAAAGGATGATTCAGAGCACAAAGAATTGCTGAGAAGGTGGAAAGTCAAGGCACAGAAAATGTAGAGGGAGTTTGTGGGGAGGGGACACCTTGGGTGGGTGCTGTCGCTCACGTAGTATGCATGGCAAAGAATAACCGGTCTTGAAGGCCTTTCCACATGCAGAGAAAAAGACTTCTGACTCAGCCACTGGTTCTGCTAAGTGCTCTACTTCTCACATCTCAGACCTGCAACATGCCCAGCATCCCACTCGCTCTTAGTTGTCCTGAGGAAGTAAGTCTGCCTGAAGGTCAAGGGCTTGCTGCCTCACAGCCCAGCAGATCCTATCCTCCAAGTCCCTTAGCTGACACGAATCACCACTTTTCTCCCTGGCTCACTGGTCCCAGCCCTCCCATGTCTTTGTCCTGCTTGATCTCTTTCGAGCACAAGGACCTGAGTTCAATCCCCTGTGTGTGGGGGTGGGAGGAGAGACGGGGGCTCCAAGGTGTGGAGCTGAACAGGGTGGGTGGATTCCCACAGCCCCGGGGGTCTAACCGCACCCTTTTCCTCCCTGCTAATCTAAGTCCTTTGGGTGAGATGGAGAGGAGCCTTACGTGCTTCTGTGTCAGCCCATATAGGAAGCCTCTTACTCGGGCGAAATCCTGAGGTGGGGACAAAGGGAAAGCTGCTTTCAGTTTGCATTTGTTGCTCATTGCTTAAGTGAAATTATTTTTTTATGAATCAACTTGTGATTTTAGCACCTAATCCCAACAATTCACAGAGAAAGGACCACACCAAAAAATGAAAGGCATCTATCTATATATAAAATCTTTTATTACAGGCATTATTGGTCCAGACACTACACGATACCGACAGTACAAGTTTAATCTTTCAAAATCATCATCGAAACAGCAAAAAGACCAAGAAATAAAATTTGAATCAATTGATTTTTCAAAATATTCTCAATGCACATTATCTCAGTTCCCTTATTACAGTGAAACATACAAATACAGAAAAATACCCCACTTAACATATACTAGTGTTAAATGGTTATTTGGCTTAAAATCTGAGTTAAGAAAATCCTTTTTAGCAACCTACATACAGATAAGTAGCAAACTTTATTATATTAAATTCGTTCCACTAGATCACATAAAGATTTCCACCCATCACGTATTCTGACCCCAGTACAAGTGTTTATTCTCTTATCGTCATGGTTCTTACGGAAGGACCAACTCAAAGAGCCGCCCTAGATAGAACCTTATTCTTTTCCCCAACACTTCATCCAGAAGTCTGTTCAACAGATGGCAACCGGGCAGCAGTCACTTCGCCATTTGAGGCCAACGGCTCCGTGAGAGCCTGGCCAGACCTGCTAACCAGCCTGTTTTCCTACCTACCGGGTGCTGCTCAGGAGGAACGATATACGCCAATACTAGCAGAAAGCCTGCAGCTCCTCTGCTGTGTGCCTCAGAACACTTGCAGTTTTTCTGGTCAATGCTCTGATTGGGTTACATAAAAGCCAGCATATTAGTTTAAGTCTTTAAACAAAAAACTATATTTTCCAAAGTCATTATCATTTGGGGCAATTAAGTGATCTTTCCGTGCTTTGCTGAGCTTCATTTTTAGGGCATTTCTTCTTTCTTCCCATTCGTGGAGCTCAGCATTCCCATGTGCAAATTTACAGCTGCTTCCTTCAGTGCAGGTTCCATTCACATACCTGTGGGGAGACAGTGGTGTGGTAAAGTCACTTATAAAAACTGTGCTGTGATTCTTGAGAATATTACTAGCTTTGTGAACATAACTTTTATCTAAAGCCAGGCGTGGTGGCGCAGCCTGTAATCCCAGCACTCAGGAGGCTGAGGCAGGAGGATCGCTGTGAGTTGGAGACCAGCATGGGCTACACGGTGAGTTCCAGGTCATTCTCAACTACATAGTGAGACCCTGTCTCAAAAGAAAAACCAACCTCCCCCGCCAAAAATACCCAAAACTTTTATCTAAAAATGGTTTGTTTGTTTGTTTGTTTGGTGTAAACCCAGACCTCACTACTACTAAGCACATGTTCTATCACTGAGCTATGCTCCAGGCCATTAGGAATCTTTTTTTTTTTTTTTTTTTTTTTTTTTTTTAACACAGTGTCTCGCTATGTAGCTCAGGTTAGCCTTGAACTTGCAGTGGTCCTCCTGCCCCAGCTTTCTAAGTGCTGGGATAACAGGTGAGTGTGGGAATCTTAAGCCTCTAAAATGAATATTTTATAGGCATGACACTGACAAGAGAGGAATCAGGACTTTAAACTATTTAAATGTATTCACTGCAAAGTACTGACCGGGCCTGGGGGAAGTTCGGCGTAGGGCATTTGCCTGGTATACATGAAGCCCTGGGTTCAGTCTATAATGCCACAGAAAAGAAAAAAAAAAAAAGTACTGACTGGTGGGGAAAAAGAGACTGCAGTCATTAATAATGTAGCAGAAAGACATCAAAAGTGACAATAAGTAAAAAAAATGTCTTCAATGGTTTTAAGAATCCGTGGCTCAGGGGCCAGGGATTTAGCTAAGTCGCACCATGCCTGCCTCGCAAGTGCAAGGTCCTGAGTTCGATCCCCGGTACCGAATTCATGGCTCTAAATTTGAAATGAAATGTAAATATTTATGAAATGAAAACTAATTCCAAATTATCCAGTTTTCATTTAAATATTTTCCAAGAAAAGGAGAGTATTACTAAGCTGTTATCTTCCTTTGATATGAGTTCTAGATTTCCCCACGAAATACAACATGAAAACCGTCTCAAATTGGACGCATATCAATATCGCACAAAGGGTTACAGAATCACAGTTGAGGACGCAAAGATCATGAGGGCAAAACCGAATGAAGATACGTCTTTCTCTGTTCAGGTACCTCGACACAGGTGAAGCCAGTCTCAGAAGGCCACTAAGTCTAGTCTCGCAACCCCAGAAGGGTGAAGAGCTATTCACTGAGCAGCTAAACACGTTGCAGCAACAACCATGTGTCCTGCCAGGGTCTGTCAGGGCCCAGACCCACAAGGAGACTCTACCACAACAGATGTCCTCCGACTACTGATGTGGGGCCTGTGCGAGTTATCACAGATCAGCAGTTTTCATGCAGAAAAACGTACTACAAACCTACGTACCTCTCACAAATACTGAAATATCCTGTTGGGAAGCGGTGTTGCCAGCAGTACTGGTCGTCTTCGGTGTGGAAAACCTTCTCCTTGTGCTTCTCTGAAGAGATGTGGCCCTGCCACTGCTTCTCACTGTTACAGTTCTTCCCGCACATCCAGCAGTGAAAATCCACCTGTGTGTGGCGCAGATGTGGCCCGTCAGTGGTGGTGTGAGCGCCCTGTCACTGTGAGGGCACCTGAAGGTCCAGATGCCACCGGCTCTGAGAACCAGACTCTCTCTGTTCTCAGGGAGCCAGGCAAGGACATAAAGTGAAAAGTAAGATCAAGGAAAGGACCACGGTGTGGGGGAAAATGCTGACACACAGCCCCCCAGGGGCGGGGCGCGAATCCGCCCAGGCATCCAGGAATTCACCCATGCGCAGGCCACAGGAGCTGGTGTCGAGACAAGGATGTTTATGGGGAGGGCAGGAAGCAGGTTCAAGTAAGGACTCCGGGAATAACAAACCCCAAGAGGAACAAGAGGGAGGGTGTGAAAGGGCAAGACAGCGGCCATTCCATGTGATGTTCCTGAACTGAGCCCCAAATCTGGGCCAGGCAGCCAGAGAGTAAAGCAGCACAAATCACAGCAGCTAAACCCTGGAAGTGGCCTGTACGTCCACCAATACATGAGTGGAGAAAAGGAAGACACTGTATTGACGCACTGGAATGCAACTCTGCCATGAAGGATAAACCTGGGTCGTTTGTAGGGAAAGGGATGCACCTTAAAGTGATAATGTTATGGGAAATAAATAAGATACACAAGCTTAAATATAACATAGCTTCTCTTACGAGAAACAAAATATAGACAAAGAGCAAAATAAAAGGAAATAGGGAAGTAGATCTTCTACAAAAGGGGAGGGGAGGGAAAAGGGGAAGTCAGATGTGTTATGTACATGTACCAACTCCCTGTGAGAAATGTAATCACTGTGTACTGCAAATATGTTCAAATAGAAACTGAAAACAAATCACCAGAACCTCCCCCCAAAGAAACAAGTAGCAGAATGACACACACACTTCTGTACGTTAACAAAAAAAAATACGGGAAGATCACAACTTTGAACCCAACCCGGACAATTTAGCAACTTAATAAGACCCTGTCTCAAAAAAAAAAAAAAAGAAAAAAAATTTTAAAAAGGACGGTGGGTAGGGGGCTGACAGCACACACTTCCTAAGTCCTTGTGGCCCATTACTCAGGTAAGTGTCATATACTCCTTACACTTCACTCACCATCGTGACAGGAGACGCCAGTCTGCCCAGGGTCCCAGGTTGGCAAGGACGACCCAGGCCTGGGACTCACAGTTGAGAAGGGTTCAAGGCAAGGATGTTTGGGCATGAGAAGATGAAAGCTCATGCAGAAAACCACCCAAGAGAAAAGAGGTCAACCCCAAGAGAGGCAGGCAGCGGGTGACAGAGCTAGGGTTGGGAGAACAGGAAAGGAAAGCCTCCCACTCATGGCTCCAAGCAAAGGAAAGGAAAACTGGCCAGAGGTACTTACAGTCACTTCGGCATAATCTGTTGGCATGTGAATTTGTTTTCCGTTTTCCTTGTTTGACTGAATGGCTATGTCATCATTTTTTTCATTTTTTTGACTTTTTAGCCAAAGTTCATAAAATTGTTCCATATCTTGTACTAAAGAAAAATGAATTACTGTCAGCAGCAGTAATGAAACGCCACTCGGACACAGGCCTAGTCATGCACGTGTTCTGTATCAAGTACGGTACATTTTCAAAACAAATAAAAGGGGGCTGAGGCACGGGCAGTCAGTTCAGTCAGAGGAGCAGGTAAACCCTTACAGAAGAACCAATTTCAGGGCGGTTAGACATAAATATTAGTTTTCAGTATTGACGCCTCCCTGTGTGGGTGTTTAAAACTCAGAAAGCGTCAGAAGGGAACTGCCCCAGAAGCCCCAGCGCTGTCTTCCTGTCACACTGTTACACACTCATTGTCTGTGCCATGACCACACAAGGCTGCTCATATGGCTTGGGGGCTTGGAGCTGCTACACACTGTCCGCAGTGTTCACTGAGAGAGATGGGAAGCAAACTATTCCTGGGGCGAGACTCTGATGTGACGGGAGCCTACCCATCCATCCAGCCTCAGCCCTAGGGAACCAAGATGCTGGGTGCAATTACAGAAATATCACTGGGACCAGGTCCTGGGCGGGGACTGCCAGTTGCTCCCTATGGTGAGAGCAGGTATGTTCTGCGTTACTGCCAGTGCTAAACCTAGGGTTTTCCAACCTTAGTACTGGTGACATGTGGACCAGATGGCTGTTTGCTGCTGGCAGCTGTCCTAAACATCGTGATGTTCAGCAACATCCCTGAACTCTTCCCACTAGAAGCCAGTAGGACACTGCTCCAAGTCATGACCATGAAAATGTTTCCAGACATTGACAGATGTCCACCAGAGGAAGGAGGCTGTGTGACAACATCTGTCCCTAGCTGAGAACCACTGTGCGAAAAACTGGTAATGAAGATTTGGCCAAAACTTGATCTTGTCATCCTGAAGGCTTCTAACAATAGATCATCAGGCTGCGAGCAAAGATAAACTAGAAATTCTTCTTCCTTAAGACCAGGAGTAGCAGGTTCTCGTAAACAAGGAGATCCTCAGGAGGACCCAGTCTATGTCCTTATACCAAGAAAGACAGCTTGAGGGAGTCCCTTCCACAAAAGTCACTGGGCAGAGGAAACCCTTACATCTGGTTGATCCCTACAATCTGGAGATGGCAGTGGTACTCATATATTTCCATTAGTTTATTTAAGACTAAAGAACAATCATCCTTGCAGTAAAACGTTTTATGATCAAAAGTAAAAGGTGGTCTGAGGCACATTTCAAAGGCTCCATGATATACTTGAAACTTGACCAAGACAAACATTTTCTCCTTGGGCCTCAGGATCTGGCCTTGTCCTACAAGTAAGGACTCCCTTAAGATACCTTCCCTCTACATCACGTTGATCACAGGCTAACTCATCACAACAGAAGACAAACATTTGCCTTAAAAATTCAACGCAAACTGAACTTCCCGAGATCATTTTTCAGGAACACACACACCTAGTGCATTGAAGGATGCAGACCTATATATTAACGCTGAAGTCCAGCCTAACCAAAAACACATGAGAAGTCAGATTCCACTCCACCTAGGCTGTGGTCACACTTCCTAGCCACTGCCACCAACACAGTGATGAAACAGGTTGTAACTGTGTAGAATGCATACTGCTTTCTTTGTCCACAGGTACTCGGCATATTTATATAGAGAAAGGAACTTTCAGGGCAGCCGGCCTTTTCAGATGTCAAGGAAACAGAACACAGTAACTCACTTCCATTGTCCTTCATGTAAGTCCACACTTCTCGTTCCTCAGGACTGTGAGCAAAGGAACAGTTCCCAACATACTGACATTTTTTCCCAGAGGCAATATGGTTGCACAGCTGTTTTTTTAAGAAAAGAAAGTAAATATGCTTTAAGTCAGAGCATACTTAGTAAAACCAGCTTTTACATTTAAGCAACATTATCAGTGCTAATGCTTAGCAACAAAATGTAACAATAAGACTAATTTCTTCTATACAAAGTGACTGCAAGCCCAAAATATTTGGATATGTGGGCTATTAATAAACATTTCTATCACAAACATTTCCAAAGAAAGTAAAATATGTAGAATTAAGAGTATAGAGCATTTTCTTACAAGAAATATTGACAAGCTCACATTCAGAACACTGAATTCTTGGGATGAAAACCTCTGGCCCTCTCCATCTGACGGCTCCTGCTCTCCCCAGGTAAAGTCACGCGACACCCACCCCATCGTCACTTGGGAAGCAGTGAAGAAGCTGCAGTCTGCTCAGGTTACAGAATAGCACCAGGACGTTTCAACTAACTCTGGTCAGAATCCACCACATAGCCATTCTCTGAAGACAATTATTACACTAACCAGGGCACGGAGCTACAGAGCTTTCAAATAATACCTCTTCCTCTGGTAATCTGCATGTTTATTTAACAAAAGAAATAGGGTGATACTGGTGAGAAAATAAAATAGCAATTCTCAGAAGACCACAGACCTCCCTCAGCATCATGACTATCCAGAAACAAGAAAACCACCTTTACCAATAGAGCTCACCTAAAGCAGCATCAGTCTTTTCTGTCTTTACAGCAAAAATCCCAGTGCAACTAATTATTAGCTCATCACGCTGTGTATTCCAAAAGGAGCTGGCCCTATATCCTACTTAGGTATTTGACATTAAATGCTCAGCATCTGTTTTTGCACAACCCTAAAAGCAGTCCACCCTCATTGCTGCACATTTCCTCTCTTGGACCAACGGCAGCGACCCCGCCCTGAAAATCATCGGCGCGAAGCCAACAACCAATGAAACAGTCCTGTCACTCACGTTTTTGTGTTCTTTTCCCATGCAAATCCCACAGGTACTCAGCTGTATTACTAAGGAAACATTTACCAAAATCTTTCAACACTCAAAGATAAGGAGCAAGAAGTATAAAGAAGGTGGGGCACTGCGTTGGCCTTCTTCAGGCTACCTTTGCACGTAATCATCTCTGTGATCCAATTATCCCCTTTTACAGATGAGCAAACTGAGGCCAAGTAACTCAACCAAGGCCCTGTGCCGACTCTGAAACCCATTCTCTTCCTAGCTCACCACACTTTCCACATGCAATATTATTTCTTCCTCCAGAGAAAGGGCCCTTAGCAACACGGAGTATGGTAGTGGGAAAAAGAGGAAATAAACTACTGTAGCACTGCATAATATTAGCACGTTACATAGTATACATAGAACAGCACGTTACAGATTAAAGAATCATCCTTAATGCAAGGCAGCTGCCTCATGAACTAGACTCCTCGCTTTAACCAAGCCCTAGACACATACATTGTCTCCCTTACCTTTTAAAGTGCAAGATATCATGCTTCTAGTGAAACTCTTTCCCTTTCCTACAAAACCCAGACCAAAGCTGAGACTAACACCGCTTTGGAAAGACACAAACACACCACCATCTTACAAGGACTGACCTGATCTGTTGGCCTGTTTCACAAAACTGCAAGGTACTCTGGGTGATGACACACGCACTGACCTCCTCAACCCTTCCTGGCAATCAGAGGGCAGCCTCGTTTACAAGGGAATTCTGCACCCACTGCCCCACTGGCCCACTGCCCTGGCCAAAAGGTTTTCTGCACCATCCTTCCGTGTGAGCAGCCAAGTTTATTGCCTTTCAGTGGTCTGTTTGTCCCTGTCTCTCCGATAGCACAGAAAAATACCTCTACACCTTCTCCAG